TTATATATATATATATATATATATATATATATATATATATATATATATATACATTTCCTCCTTGTTACCAATTAGTTTCTCTCTTTGCCAAAGGCTGGCTGACTTAACTGGTTTTCATAAACCTAATTCTTGCAGCTTCTGGTACTGAGGTCCATTTATAACGAAAACATGTTCATCTTTGATCGTCATAAAGATATGCGATACTTTCAGGTCAAGAAATAATCTTTCTATCTACAGGTTTCATATCGATATTGTGACATAGAAATTGTTCTCATAGTCTATTTATTTTGCAGCTTCATGTACACGTTGATGCTACTAGTGAATATACCGTCTCTGCAGAGCTTAACTTGAATGATGATGCAAGCCAGGACTCTAAGGGTTTCTTATACTCTTTCAAGGCCCATCACCTTCCGCCCATTGTCCTGTCATGCTTACTACCAAAGACCTATCCCAGCCACTTACCGCCTTATTTCCTAATTAGTGTTCAGTGGATGAACCCTGATACGATTGCAAGTCTCTGCTCCGCTCTGGACTCGATATGGATGCAACAGCCTGGGCGAGAAGTCCTTTACCAATGGATAGATTGGCTACAGAACTCATCACTTTCTCATCTTGCCTTTGATGAGCAGATTCTTCTTGGTCCTTATGGTGCTGTTTCATGTACCAGAGATAAGCGTGCTGTTTCTGGAAGCTGTTCCCCAGATTCAGATATTCCTTATATCAAGAGTTATGACGAAGGAAAACGCCGTGATAGCTTCCTTCGGGGCTTCCACGAGTGTGTTATATGTTTCTCTGAATATGCAGGTAAAAACAATTTCTTCATCATATCTTTCTACTTTAGTATTGTGGGTTGGTTGAATTCTAGCTGCTTGACCCTTTTTCTCCGTATTTCTTTCCACCCTTGACAGGTTTTGACTTTGTTAAGCTACCGTGCCAGCATTTCTTTTGTATGAAATGTATGAAGATCTATGCTAAAGGCATAGTTAAAAAACTTCAGTGTCCGGACTCGGAATGTGGAGAGATTGTCCCGCCAGGTATATTGAAGAAGTTGATGAGCGATGAAGCGTTTGAAAGCTGGGAAACTCTTATGATGCAGAAAACACCGGAATCAATGACTCGCATTACTTACTGTCCTAGATGTGGAACACAATGCATAGAGGACGAGGATCAGCTTGCTTTATGCTCCAAGTGCCACTTCAGTTTCTGTACGCTTTGCAAGGGAAAGAGACACGTGGGTGTTGCTTGCATGAGCCAGGAACGTAAGCTTCAAATCTTGCAGGTATCATTATTGTGCCTTTGATCAATCACTACATTTCTCTTTGTTATACCCAGATAATCATAAACCAGTCTTTCTTAAATGTAAATATATTCAGGATCGTCAGGGTTATGCTCTTCTTGGAGTCGAACAAAGGCGGAAAGATCAAGAAATTATCAATGAGATTATGAGTGTGAAGGTGATAATGGAAAGCGCTAAACAATGCCCATCTTGCAATATAGCCATCTCTAAAACTGGAGGCTGTAACAAAATGCTCTGCAACAACTGTGGCGAATACTTTTGTTACCGTTGCAACAAAGCTATCATCAATGGTTACGCACATTTCAGGTTAGTGATGTTACATATATAATAAAATAGCTACACCTGTGTACATACCATCTTGGAGCTAAATAAACCCTCTCTTTTTGGGAAAAGCGAGGGAACATGTGAACTGTTTCCACAAGAGGCGATCCAAGAATGGAATGATAGGGTGAATGAGCGACAAGTCATTGGACGAATTCAAGCTCAACTGTATCCACAACACGGTCAGTTTCCACAACGCGGCCAAAGATGTCCTAGTTGCCGCCAGCTTAATGCAAAGGTAAAAATCCAATTTGGTTTCATCAAGCCAATGAATTATGGGTTTGGAGGGTTCACGAGAGATGCAATGATTCTTGATTTGGTGTTTGTGTAGGTGGGAAACAACAATCATTTGTTTTGTTGGGCATGCCATTCACATTTCTGCTATATTTGCAAGAAAGTGGTGAAGAAATGTTCTCAGCATTATGGACCAAAGGGTTGCAAGCAGCACACCGATGGATAAAGGCCAGAAGATATATTGTAAACTCTCAGATACTGATCACAAGTGGCAACTTCCTTTAATAATAGAAATGTAGTTTTGCATGAGGAAACGTTTTACTATTTCCTTTTATGGGATGATGATTCTGTTGGGGAATTAGTGAGTCAGAGTCTCAGAGAAATATTGGAAAGGAAGAAAAAGTGCTTAATGGTCTACGTTAAATTCGGTTTTTAGTTTGATTAATTACTAGTATTTTCTCAGTGATACAAACATAATACCCTGAAAGAAAGAAAAAAACCTTATCCTAGATTTAAATCTGCAGTGGCAACATTTTATTTAGTTAATTTTAAATTTACATTTTTCTAGAATTGATTAATTTGGTTGAAATTTATTTTATAATTATTAAGATTGCATAATCCTAATTTTAATTATGACCTAGACTCTTTGTGAAACAGAAGAATAAGTATGCACTATTCATTAATAAGTGTGATTTTAATTATATAGGGGTGTACTCTTCCGCTTTGCATGCAGATCCAGACCAGTTTCGAAACTATAATACTCTTTAGTGGTAATTTCGCAAGTATAAATTATCCATACCTCATACCTCCATATAATACTCTACTCCAGTAGGATTATATCATATCAAGGTTAGTTTATATATACAATATACTATACTTTATGCATTTAAGTATTATCGAGATTAAGAAAAAATGACATATATATATACTGAATTTAAATCTTACGTATATCTTCACTCTTCAGAGGCATTCAATATTTCTTTTGAGGGACTTTATGAATATTAAAATAAAGATGTCATTTTTTTAGATTCACAAAAAAAAAAAAGGGAAAATCACGACCACCCGGATTTGAACTCGGGTCTTTGGGTTTTGTTTAATAGGATGTAACCAGTAAACCAAACTTTTCTAATTTGAGGATAGCAAAACAAAAAACATAATAATATATAAAATGAGAGCATGCACTTAAATCTTAAGTGTGATTAAGATGCGACCATTCAACATTATATTATATATCATCATAATATCTAGATTGCGTAAGTTTAATACGTACTGGAAACAAAAGAAGCAATTTAACTTGTAACTTAGTTTGGGTCAACAACATGATCTACGAAAGCACATAACCGAACTATTGAAGTATGAATCAGATGTTACTTCAAGGAATGTCTAGTGTGAATGAGTGATGAAGATTCTCGGTTAGTGAGAAGGTTCGTTGAAAACAGTTCAAGGAGAAGGCACGTGAGTTTTACGGGATGGGCCATTTGGTGGTTATTGTCATTGGGCTATAAAGCCTTTTACTCTCTTCTCTTTTATTGGTATCGCTTTGTTGTTTCTTGGTTTGTAACAGAAAGTAAGAACAGAGAGACGAACATTTTAGGCAAGATCTTAGTAGATTTTAAGCATATTTTGTGATTTAATTAAATGACAAAAACAAAAACAATAGGAAGAATGGATCTTGCATAAGATTTAACTTTTGAGCTAAGAAGCGCCACGTTGCGCGATTTAATTGGAGATGCCAATTTTTTTTTAAAAACCATTTTTTTTTTCTTTCTCTCTCTCACTATAATAAATATATAATGCAAACAAACAATTTTTCTTTCTTTCTTTCTTTATTATAATAAATATATGGCTTATGTATGTTTTCAAATTCTAAATTTGCAATAATTATAAAAAAATTTAAAATTACAAATTATAAATTTATTTAATTTTAATTTTTTAATTTTTTCTAAGATACCCAACTTAAAATCTTAACAATAATCACATTTCAAAACCAAAAACAAAATTATAACTCTTAAGCTTTACTTTTTTAAAATTAATAATAAATTAATGTTAAGATCAAAAATTAAGATCCTACCTATAATAATGTTGGTCTTAGAGAGAGAGAGATTACGATTGAGAGAGAAGAGAGAGAACTTTGTAAACGGATTGATTCTTCATCGTTCTAGTGGATTTCCGGAGAGGATTCCTCCGGCGAGACGTAGCGTTTCCGATTTGGAAACGTGAACTCGTTAAATCTCGGTATTCTTCTTCTTTCTAAGTTTCTTAATTCTGTTTTGCGATCGAGTTTGTTCTTGAATCGAGTAGTGATTCAAAGCTTCGTCGTGTTCAATCTTGGTGAATAACCTTCACACGAACAAGCTTGTTCTTGTTTAATACAAGACAATATAACATTTGGTAAAAGAATCTGAACATAAACAAGTTTGTTCTCTAATATTTTTTCCCCCTAACTTTGTCTCTACTTCCTTCTAAGTCTCTCCGATCCTCTTTCTCACCATATGCACCGACCGATTTCTCAAAAGACTAACGTTTGTTAATGATAAGAACAGTAAATCTGGTTCATTTAAGAGAAGGAGAAGGTGATTAAAGCAAATATGCTGAAACTGAAACATACCATAATTGTTCCAACAAACTCTTTCCCCGACAAAGTTTATTCGATATGGACCAATTTGCCACAAAGGAGAGTGTCAAGCCCTATCAAGATTGTTCTTATATGTCTTCCTCATTCTAATAACTCTCCTTCTCCTTACTCTAACGTTCAAACGAAACGACGTTGTGTCCTTTACACTCACAAGCCACGTACGGCGTTTACGTCGCTGACGTCAATTTCTCCGATCTGCGCCCTCATCATCTTCCCGAGAGAAATAGCTTCGGAGATACATCGGCCCATTACACGCGCCTCCT